CACTTTGTCAATGGGCCACTAAGAAGGCCAAGCTAGTCCACTTTACATAATAAAGACTTCTCCACTTCAGCTCCAGGGGGGAATGGGATTAAGGAATGATAATATTGGCCCCCAACTGACCACGTGGCATCTGAGAACTCAACCAAACCTGGATTCAAAACGCAGCCTGGAGAGTTGCCCCTGCATGGCCCCATGGGAGTCTGACAACCAATCAGAATACAAGATCAAAGGCCAGAGGGGAGTAAAACCAGGGACTCAGCTTCTTTTCCTCCCTTTCTCTCCTCTTCTCCACCAACATTGAAGCATGTGATCACATTTTCTGTTCAGAGCTCAAGCCATGTGGTTCTGTCCACCATTAAAACCATCTTTCCAAGCAGCCTCCATGTCACCAGTGTCTTTTTCCCCACTTGGAGCCGAACCCAGAAGGACATTTCTTTCATCAGTATAAACATGATTATGAATACGTGAAATGAATACGAGTAAATGGGGACATTAGGACAGGGATGGTAGGCAATTTGGTGCGCTTATGCACGCCCCTTACAGACCTCTCAGGAATGGGGTGAGGTCAACAGTAGACAGTTTTAAGATTAAAGTTGTGGGGGTTTGAGGAAGAAACCCACAGTCAGGTAGCGCATTCCAGGCATTGATCACTCTGTTGCTGCAGTCCTATTTTCTGCAATCAAGTTTGGAGCGGTTTACCTTAAGTTTGTATCTACTGTGTGCCCGTTTATTGTTGTGGTTGAAGCTGAAGTCATGGACAGGTAGGTAGAACAGAACCTTAGAGGTCTTCTAGTCCAGCCCCTTGCTCAAACAGGAGACGCTGGCCTGTACCATTTCAGACATGTGACTGTCCACCCTCTTCTTAAAAACCTCCAGTGATGAAGCTGTAGAAAGTCAGCACCCAGCCACCCTCCTTTTGGGGAATATTAAAAAGGCAGGAAGGAATATTTCCTCTAAGGGAAAAGAATCGTAAGGGAGACAGAAACAAATCTCCCCCAAGTAGAAACCGAGGAGGCCAGCTTTTAGAAATGCAGATTTGGTAATCCATTCAGAAAGACTGGGTGCCTTTTCCCCAAACGAAACTTCAAAACAAGGCATTGCTTTTTTTTAAAACCTGTTCTAGGCATGTCTTTCTTAAAATAGCTGCAAGATTTTTCTGAAGTAAAATGGTGGTTTACTTTTCTACATGGAAATCTCATTTTATTCCTTCACAGCCAAAGTGATCAGTGCATTTAACAGCTGATGCAATCAATACAATCACGAAGTACAAACCTCTTTGTACCAAAAATAGAGTTCTGCAAGGTGGAAGGAGTAGGTTTCAAAAAAGTCAAAGGCTCAACCACACAATTGTGACTGCCTTCTTGTTCCTTCCTCCTTCCCTTCTCCCAATAATATGCATGTCATTA